ATAAATAGACGGAGAGGAACTTTTTCTTAATGTTTCTTACTGGATTTGGGCACTTTTGTTAAGGACTATGAGTTTTTGTCTCTCCTCATTGTTATACTTTTGCATCAAACATTCGGATTTCTCATATTTGATAATTTGCAGTTGAAGGTCCATTTATATTCGAAGTCGAATGAGACATTCCATGCGTGAAAGCTACCGATATCTGATGTTTTAATGTATACAAATAAGAAGTAATTGTTTCTATGTATTTTTTAAACTTCTCTCATGATTTCTGTAAAATAATTTCGTAAAAAATTTACATGTGTTTAGTTCTTGCTACAACTGGCAGTAAAATGTTCTTGACATTGCAAGTGATGCATCAAAGAAAAGAAGATGAAGGAGTACTTGGTCGATTCAACATTTGGTACTTGTCCTCATCTCAAACATTTGTTCCACCTAAACATTCAAAGTTAATTTCCGATATTGCGTCAATTGATCATTTACTTATCATTGCACATGAATTATTTCAATATTCACCAGAATTTCGATTTCAGAAACATCCTTCCGATATATTAACAAACAAAGTAATCAGTAAGTTGCATGTCAATTGATTTTCGATTAGACATTTTCAAACTTTATATGATTTATATTTGAAGGTGAAGAAGATGAATATATGAAGTCACTTCGTATTAAACAAGGAATTATCAATGAAAATCCATCGACTTCATCAATTGATAATGATGAATATCATCATGATGTGTTTCATCCATGTCCAGACGATTCTACTGAGAATGGTGGTATTATAAGTGCATATAAATTGATGATGTCTATCTTGGATTGCGAGTTTAAAGGTGCTCAACAAATGCAAGCACATTTAGTAGGTTGTGCTCGAAAAGCAACCAACAAGTTTCCTCAAATATGTGCAATTTTATGTTCATTTGAAATTATTGGTGAAATCGCCTCCAATTTATTGAAGTACATAATATTTGATGAAGGTAATTATTCTCGACCACATTCATTATCCAACAAATTTATTTCATTGGAATTCGTTTGTGCTGCTCGTCAATATGTAAAGAATTATATAACCAATCTACCGGTCATTGATGGTCGATCAATTATTTATATCAATAAATTACAAGTGGAACGTGCCTTTAACTTTTATACATATGTTGAAGGAACAACAACAATGTTGTTTGATGCATCACTTATCAATCAAACAGGTCAAATTGTACAAGAAACCAATCTTACAAATTGTCTTTCAAAAAAGTATGTCTTTAATTTATGATTTTTTCCATTCTGTTGAAAATTGTTTTAGAGAAAAACAAGAGATGAGTTGGATTATTAAAGTGTTACAAACTCCAGTTATATTTTTTTCGAATAATTATCTTTGCAAATGGACTCCAGGTTGTCCTGGTTCTGGTGTGTTCAAAAATACTACAACTGAATTTCGTGTTCATGTTTTGAGTTTGATGACGACGTATGGTTTATTAATGGTTGATGATTATTTATCAGCAATGAAAACACATTCATTTGTTAAAGTTCCACCAAGTATTCTTCGACAAAACGAATCTTTAGTTAAATTATTTACTATGTTTGGTCCATCGTTGACGCTTAATACTTATGAAAAATTGTACGAAAATTTTGGCTTAGTAACAACATCGGATGCTTCGATTGTTCCCATAACACCTATAGGAATCAAATTGTTACGTAAAAATAATGCTTTTGTTAATTATTATCATTGTTTAGATAAAGATGAACGTGTGTTGCACATGATTCAAGAACGACTCAATTTGAAAGAAATCTGTCTTATTTGTTATGGTAAAAATGGTCCATATCGATATGAACTTATTGATGTAAATAGAAAAATCATTAATATTTCATCGAAAAATACAAATGACAATTACAATGAACGTGTGAACAGTGATACATTGTTAACATCTATTATAACAACGACTAATCATATGCAACAACACTTTTCTTCAGCTGGTAAAAACAAATCTATCATTTGATCAAGTAACGAATATGTTTTTATCCTTTTTCTTATCTGTAGATGAAGTTAATCAAGAAGAACAACAATCAAATAGATCATTGTTATTGAATCACATGGTTGGTGTTAATCAGAAAGAAATTGCTTCACTCGTTGTCCAAGATGAAAGTGAGTCATTATCAAATTGCTAATATGTAGTTTTTTTTTTCTATTTAAAACGTTTGCGTCGTTTTCTAAAGATCATGATAGTAATTTGATATCGGAAGTACATGATCATTCACAAACGACTCGTCAAATTCAACGAAAAAAAAGTAGTGAATCATCTATCAGCATTAATAGTGGAACATCTTCATCAAGTATATCATTATCATCAAGTAAGAAATTTATGTTCCATGTATTGTTCGTCATAAGCAATAACAAAATAAAATTGAGTTTCTGTTTAATTCAATAGTTGATCATCAAATTCCATTACAAAAGTTACCATTATCATCATCACCACTCCCATCACTTTTGTTCAAAGTATGTAACAACGTATAGCAGTTAGTTGTTAGTTAATAAATGTGCAATACATTTAGGAAGTACTCAATATCAATAATACATTAAGTATGAATAATATGGAAATTCTTGATCTTTCAACAATATTGGAAGAACAAAAATCATCATTATCGAACTCTGCTACTGGTAGGAATTTAAATATTTAAAGAAAGTCTTTCACAATGAAATGAAATGTAACAACCTGGTTATCCCGAATTTATTTTTAGAAAATTCACCCATTTTACTTCAATTTGTATCGCCAGTAACAGAAACACCACAATTTATAACACAACCATTTGTACCAACAGACCTTTTTACTGGTGCTACTATTTCACCTATCACTTGTCCAGATATTGATCAACAAAGTGGTTTATTAGAATGTTCAACTGGTATAGTGACATGTCAATTTTTGTTTTGTCGAACATTTTCATGTCTTTACTGTTAAATAGATAATGAGACAAACAAATCATCTTCGTTATATTCAACTGTTGTACCAACTATATCGGTCAATTCTCATGATCCAGTCGGTTCAATTTTACCTTTGTTTTCAATGGAATTGCAATCGAACACTGATGTATGTATATCTTTTCTTCGTTTATCATCAACAAAAATTGGTGATCTTTGATTTGTTAATTAGGTAAGTGAACATCGTTCATCGAATACGTCACCGATGCGTTTATCCTTTCATTCTTCTGAAACTTCAACAGAATCATTACGAGATTCATCTTCAATTTCCATTGTCAAAAAGAAACGAGGACGAAAATCGAATATTGAAAAACAGCAAACTTTCTCACCAATTCATGGTAAGCTAAAGTATCTAATAGACCTAGGACAGTTCCCAGTTCTATGAACTGTATATTTTCGAAGAACTGGGTATAGTGACCAGTTCTTTTTCCAGAACTGGTTAAAGTGACCAACTCTTTGACGAGAACTGTGTGCACCCGGCAGTTCTTTTCTAAGAACTGTACACACCCGGCAGTTCTTTTTCGAGAACTGGTTATTGCAACCAGTTCTTTTTCGAAGAACTGGATTAAGCGTCCGGTTCTTTTTCAAGAACTGGCTACCGTGACCAGTTCTTGGCGAAGAACTTGGTAAAATGACCAGTTCTTTTTCGAGAACTGGATAAAGTGATCAGTTCTTTTTCGAGAACTGCTTATTGTGACCAGTTCTTTTTGAAGAACTGGGTAAAAGTGATCAGTTCTTTTTCAAGAACTGGGTAAAGTGACCAGTTCTTTTTCAAGAACTGGGTAAAGTGACCAGTTCTCTTTCGAGAACCGGGTGTGGGTTTGGGATGGGTTTTGTGTGGGTTGGGTTGGGTGTTGGTGTGTGTGCGTATAAGTCTTCTCTCAGCATTCACACCTAGGGGTGGGAAGTTACCGTTACATTTTGGTTACCCTTGGTCCACCAAGTGCTAGCATTACGGGATATACTCGGGTCCTCCTGGAGGACCGAAAAGTACCTCCCAATACTTTGACTTCAGGACGTCAGAGTGCCCCCCAATAGTAAGAATTCAGGGGCCAAGGATACTGGCAACACCAGTAATTTTTGGGGCAAGGGTACCACGCGATACTTGCACTGTTTGGGCAAAGGCTGCCGCGTAACTCTGGCAGTGGTTGGACCAAGGCTACCCTCCTTCCTGGCAATTGAACCTGATGGCATGAAGGTTCGGCGCAAAATTTGCATAGGTTGGGCCCACATTACCACGCCACTTTTTGTGGTGGTTGGGTCAAGGATACCCCCCCCCTTTCTGGCAATTCAACCTGGTGGCATGACAGTTCGGTGCAAAATTTGCATAGATTGGGCCCGCGTTACCGCGCCACTTTTTGCGGTGGTTGGGCCAAGGATACCCCCTTCCTGGCAATTAATCCTGACGGCACAACGGTTTGGTGCAAATTTTGCATTGATTGAACGCACGGTACCACGTAATAGTTGCACTGGTTGGTCTGAGTGTACCCAGCTATACGAGCACTTGATGAGCCAAAGGTATTTGCTAATACTAGCATTGGAGGACCCAACAGTATCTCCAATAGTGGGGCTTGTCGACACAAGGATACCCCCAATAGTTGTTCGTGAGGACCAAGGCTATGAGATTGATGATGCTAGGTAGTCCCCTGACCGTTACCTACGTTCTCGGGTAACTGCGAACGGGGCGTTACCGTTTCCGGTGACTGGGAACTTTTTCGTTACCGTTACCGTTCCCAGGAACGGTCTGGGAACGGTCTGGGAACGGTAACTTCCCACCCCTAGTTACAGATCAGTTTCTATCAAAGAACTGGTTGAACAGATCAGTTCCTATCAAAGAACTGGTTGAACAGATCAGTTCCTTTCAAAGAACTGGTAGGCACAGATCAGTTCCTATCAAAGAACTGGTTGAACAGATAAGTTCCTATCAAAGAACTGGTTGAACAGATCAGTTCCTTTCAAAGAACTGGTGGGCACAGATCGGTTCCTATCAAAGAACTGGTTGGACAGATCAGTTCCTTTCAAAGAACTGGTTGGACAGATCAGTTCCTATCAAAGAACTGGTTGGACGGACCAGTTCCTATCAAAGAACTGGTAGGCACAGATCAGTTCTTTTAAAAAAACTGGCTGGACAGATCAGTTCCTATCAAAGAACTGTTTGAACAGTTCTCAAAAACGGAACTGATATGGAACTGTCCAGGGTCTAGTATCTAAGATAAGAGAAATAGACGTAGTAAATATGAAATGAACTAACAGTGAATGTGCTCTAACAGATATTAATTGAAGTTTGAAAAATTTCTTAAGACGTCACATATATTCATACTATGATTTTTTTAAATTTGATAGATATTGAAAATATTCTTGCCAATTGTAAACATCCAATCTATAAACGTCTTATTCTACTTGATGGGATCGTATTCAGTAAAACTGATTTGACACATGCTGTTCAACAGTTTGCAGATTTACGTGATGATGCGATTGAAAAATTGTGTCAAGATGGTATTTTTATCAGACGCGAAGTTTTTGCTAAAAGATCTTCATCTGGTGACGTAGAGTATTTGGAAGGATATATTAAATGTAGTCCAGTAGACAGCAACGATACATCATCCAATATTGAAGAATATATTCATTTTGCGGACTTATTGGCAACATATGATATTACAACAGAAGAATACATTGATTCATTTAATGGTAAACAAGCATTTTTACAAAATGATGAGGTTGGTTTTATCAAACATGTTCTTAATCGTTCACATATTAAACTAAAATCATATCTCTTTTCTTTAAAATTTGTTGATTTTGTTCAAAACAATAATTATTTCAGTCAACGATTTACAATTGATAACAGTGATACGTGTTTTGATAAACCATCAATGACACCAACAACGTCAAATACACGTAAGTTGGATTGTTTCTCATGCTTAATATATTGACGGTCGTCACGATTGCAAGTACTCACACATTTTTATATTGTAGGTATTGATGAGTACCAACATATGCAGTATAATCAACTAAAACAATATCAAGCAAAGAAAAAACGAGCTTATAATGAAATCAAAGATAATACTGGACCTCCACCTAAAAATTCTCGTCGTCGACCATGAAACATATAATATCAATTTGTTAATTTCTCACCCTTTCATTAGCTTTTCATATACAAATTGAGTTTGATCGAACTTTTGGCAATTGTTATACTATAGTTGTATTTTATTGAGAATACCATGCTGTAAAAGAGTACAAAGAAAATAGTTGTATTTATGTAAATCTTAGTAGTTCATATATTGTAATATAGATGTGATAAAAGTCAGATTTTTTTATTTTGATTTTCATATAAATGTTTTCTATGTATATATTTTAGTTATCTATAATCTTATGTTTTCCTCTTTCATGTCAATACTAGTCAATAGTTTTTCAAATGTTGAATGCTTTATCTTACTTTGTTGTTTTCTTTATTATTTTATATTTCTTGTACTCTAAGATTGTAATAGATATTGTACAGTAGATCTCTTGGAATTCAAAGAGGATAATACATAGAATAAAACATACTACATTTAACTATTTAGTGGTTCTTTCCTCATGAATAACTGAACAATTACAATTATGTGATGAACGCATATTTATTAAAGAAAACGTATTTGCTAAAAAAAATTCGAATGGAATTATTGAATATCTTGATGGTTATATTAAACTTTGTCCAACATATAATATTAATAATAGTGCATCATCGTTTACCGGAGATAATATAAAATTTGCTGAAATGTTAGGAGAATACAATATAACTTTAGAAGAATATATTAGTTCTTTTGATAATAAACAATCATCTCCACCAAATTCAAATAATAATATAACTAAAGGGGTTTTATCAAGAACAGATATTCATTTGAAAACATATTTGTTTTCAACAAAGCTTGTTGATTTTATAAATACTAATCATTTTTATTCACAAAAGATTCGTAGTTAGTAATGAAGCTGTATGTTGGAGTACAGAAGGTATATTACCAACAACATCTAGTTTAG